GAGCGGTTTGGTTTGACTAAGTTTGTCCCGTTTGTTGTTTTTATGAACATTCTCATAATGGTTTGGTTTTATATTAACATAGTAGAGCACTGGTGCGTGCCTGCCTCACCTGCACTCACAGATGTATTATTTCAGACTAGAAAGAAATTCTTGAGATGGCTTTTAAACAGTAAAATCAAGCAAGCAAGACTAGACTGTCTAATGAATTAAGCAAATTGATCTTTTAAAAAAAACAAACAAATTTCACCAGCTGGAAAACCACACAGATGTTCATTTGAGTCGAGAGTTCTTCACAAGGAACCTACCAGCAGCCCGGTCTGACTCTTATATCAACCTGCGTGAAGTCTCTAGCCGCATGAAGCTGCCCCAAGGAGAATATCTCATTGTACCATCTACTTTTGAGCCTTTTAAAGATGGAGAGTTCTGCCTTCGTGTTTTCACTGAGAAACAAGCAAAAGCTCAGTAAGTATCATCCCCAGGATGCTTCCTCTCCTCAAGGCAAGATGTGCAAGGAACAAGGTGCAGCATTACGCACAACATGGTAGACTGGTGCTCTGAGTCCTACGCTGTCCTCTAGCCAACAAAGCAGCTACCACCATGGGTTCATATAGACATATTGATTTTGGGAGATACAGTTATAGAACAATGGCTATTCAATGCACACGAACGTTGTGAAGAAATGGCTCTTCAGCTATGGTCTAACTTCCCCACTAATGCAGTTTCTAGATGTCCACCCCTCTTATCCTGCCTCTTAGGGATCTACTGGTGGAAGTTCCCAGCCTTGGGGAAGGGATTGTTAGTGTGGGGAAGAGGACACCCCCTTGGTAGGTATAATCCAAAATGGCCTGGGGAAATGCAAAAAACAAGGATTCTGGCTATAGGGCTAGAAGTCTATCCAGATGTTCGAAGCACAGGCCATCTGGTGGAAGCAGCAACAGCACTAGATTTATGCACTGAACAGATTTAAAAAATGGACTGATGTAGTATACTTGAGGTTGAGATTATAAGCAGCAAAAAAGATAGTGATGCAAAAAATTAAAAAATAGATTGAAAGTGCTGCTATACAAGATTACATGCCTTTATAAATTGTTCTTTAGCCTAACACTAAACTAATCATTTCTATTATTTTCAGGGAAATTGGTGATGTGGTGGCTGCAAAACCATATGAGGTAAATGTCTTCAGTTATGTTTAAACTGACAGACTCTTCTCTTGGTCCAGTAATTATTTGATTTGGGATCTTTTTGGACTTGCCTTTAGAGTGCCTTACTGTAATCAGGAAAAGGAGGCTTTCAGTGACAGAGGATCTTTATACATCTCTCTGACCTTGTTACACATTCAGTCTTGCAGGTGCAATTAAGCCTGTCCATTTCTGAAAATGAGCCTCGGTGCATTGGGGTCAGAATACACATGTGTAAAAGCAATATAATACTAATATGATCATCCACTGGTCAGAGAGACTTCCAAGGAACTGTTAAACTAAGTCATTTGTAAAACTGATATAGGCATGCTCAGCAAAGTCTTCTCCACAACTGTATCATGAGCCTAATTTGATAACACAAAAGTCCCTTCTAATCAGTCTCTGAAAGTATTTACCCTCAAATGGACCTAATCTTGCAAATGGAAGCCACTGAATGCTCTAGAATTGGATTTAGGGAATGATTTTGTTTTGCTTCTTTGGCAATAAGAATGAACAATTTCTACCAGTGTAATCAATTTGCTGGAAGGCTGCTGTATCACATCCACTTGTCATTTCCTATCACCTCTGTCTACTGTAATAAACCACAGTATCGGTCATCTCTCCCTTTAGCCTCATGTGGATAACAAGGGCATAGATGAAGAGTTCAAGAGCCTCTTTCAAAAACTTTCTGGAGAGGTGAGTGGATTAAAGGAAAGAAATGAATCATGACATCTATGCTACAGTTAGACAAATATTTTATATACCAATTCATCTTCCAACCTGGTCTTTCAAAGAACTGAATAGTTTCCCTTTCTTATTATCTCACAGCAACATTTTTACTTCAGCTTAATGCACTTTACAGTAGAAAAGTTCTCGTATTTTGTTCTTCTCATTGGTCTGGAATGCGATTTCACTTACTGAATAAGGCAACTTGTAGCATTACTTTTTAAAGTGTGATGAATGTGAGTTTTGAGTAGGAGTCAAACTCTGTGGTATGAGAGAAACTACCTGGGGAGTGAGCCACAAGGTACGAGAGCATAATTCTGAGTGTTGTACCTAGTGGCTAAGATTATATTTTTTGTTAGAAGTTCCTAGAATCAGGAAATGGTTAGCTCTAAGGAACTGATGCATTCTCTCCTATGTATTATTTATAACAGATCTTAGGATCTGTAAACTCCTGTGGCCTGTGGCTGTCATCTAGATTCACTTTGAAAGAGTTGATACCAGGGTCTCCTCTGAAGAGCTGAAGCATCATTTGTAGTCATAAAGGTTTATTGGAGTTATGATTGATGAATCTCTGCAAACTCTGTTTCAGTTTTTATAAGCCTGAGAAGTTTTCAGTGTAGTTCTGAACCTTTTTATTTGAGATACTGAGCCAGTAAGAGCAGATCTAGCACTTGGTATTGAAAATTAATATATCATGGAGTCATACGGCTGGATGGGACCTCTGGAATTCATGTAGGGGCCTTCCAGGCCCTTCCAGGCAGCCTTCCAGGGGGCCCCTTGCTTGAGATAGGATCATTCCTATCCAAACCATCTGATATAAATCCTTGTCTGAGCTGTTCCTAAAACTACACAATCAATCCTATTGCACAATTACAAGGCATGTTGTCCAAAGATACCAAAAGCATCCTAACCAGCCACAGGTAAACCAGGGGGACAAGGGCTGTCGGTGTCCAGCTGCTACAAAGGTTGTTAAAATATACTCAGGAGATCCAAGGGAGAGGGCAGTGGCCCCTCACCCCCAGCTACAAATGAAGGCAAAGCCCTGACATCTGTAGCATACCAGGTTATGATTCCATGGTACCACATATTCCTCATTCTAAGTACAGAGAAATTATGATCATGTCCCTTGGTTACCACCATGGGGTGGCTGTTGGTAAATGTTGATTTATTTTTTTGGAGTCACTTTGAGACTTGGAATAAACTAAGATTCACATACCTTAAATCAGGAGTCTCTCCTTTTACATTACAGGGAGAATTTATATAACTGTTTGTTCTAATGACTTTTCATGTTAACACTTCAGTAAGTTTGTATTCTATTTCCAGGACTCTGAAATAACAGCTAATGAACTTCAAACAACTCTGAACGGGGTTTTAGCAAAGAGTAAGTTTCATTAGATGTTTCATGCTAAGAAAATCCAACAGGCAGATGCTGAAACTAATAGACATAAATAGAATTGTTCCTTTTTTCAGACTGAACATCTGTGCTCACTCTGTTTCAGTAACACAAGAATAATAGCAACTTTAAAGGCAAACTGCTGTGATCAGTTAGGGGTGATGGATGTAAGGTAACTCCCTCTAAAATAAGAGAGAGAATGCAGAGTCAGAGTAGTGAAGTCAGGCGTCCCCTGGGAAAATTGTCTGGGGCTTGCACCTTGCGTATGTCAGCATCGAATCCAGCCCCAGCAGACTGTGTTGTTATGTGTCTGAAATGCATGGCTGAGTAGTATTGCATGGCAACACTATCTTGGAACCCTGTGCTGCCAACAAAGCCATAACTCAAGTTTGCCTGCACAAAAGCACAATCCCTCCACAACTGAGGGAGAACCTCTATTAGTTGTCAGTAATAGAGGGGCTCTGTCATAGATTCATAGATGCTAGGGTTGGAAGGGACCTCAATAGATCATCGAGTCTGACCCCCTGCATAGGCAGGAAAGAGTGCTGGGTTCAGATGACCCCAGCTAGATGCTTATCTAACCTCCTCTTGAAGACCCCCAGGGTAGGGGAGAGCACCACCTCCCTTGGGAGCCCGTTCCAGACCTTGGCCACTCTAACTGTGAAGAAGTTCTTCCTAATGTCCA